ATGTTAAAGCTCTATCCCGGCGGTGCTGTTGTCAGCAATGTTAAAGCTCTATCACGGCGGTGCTGTTGTCACCAATGTTAAAGCTCTATCACGTAGGTGCTGTAGTCAGCAATGTTAAAGCTCTATCACGTAGGTGCTGTTGTTACCAATGTTAAAGCTCTATCACGTAGGTGCTGTTGTCAGCAATGTTAAAGCTCTATCACGGCGGCGCTGTTGTCAGCAGTGTTAAAGCTCTATCACGTAGGTGCTGTTGTCAGCAATGTTAAAGCTCTATCACGTAGGTGCTGTTGTCACCAATGTTAAAGCTCTATCACGTAGGTGCTGTTGTCACCAATGTTAAAGCTCTATCACGTAGGTGCTGTTGTCACCAATGTTAAAGCTCTATCACGGCGGCGCTGTTGTCAGCAGTGTTAAAGCTCTATCACGTAGGTGCTGTTGTCACCAATGTTAAAGCTCTATCACGTAGGTGCTGTTGTCACCAATGTTAAAGCTCTATCACGGCGGCGCTGTTGTCAGCAGTGTTAAAGCTCTATCACGTAGGTGCTGTTGTCACCAATGTTAAAGCTCTATCACGGCGGTGCTGTTGTCACCAATGTTAAAGCTCTATCACGTAGGTGCTGTTGTCAGCAATGTTAAAGCTCTATCACGGCGGCGCTGTTGTCAGCAGTGTTAAAGCTCTATCACGTAGGTGCTGTTGTCAGCAGTGTTAAAGCTCTATCACGGCGGTGCTGTTGTCACCAATGTTAAAGCTCTATCACGTAGGTGCTGTTGTCAGCAATGTTAAAGCTCTATCACGGCGGTGCTGTTGTCACCAATGTTAAAGCTCTATCACGTAGGTGCTGTTGTCAGCAATGTTAAAGCTCTATCACGGCGGCGCTGTTGTCAGCAGTGTGAAAGCTCTATCACGTAGGTGCTGTTGTCAGCAGTGTTAAAGCTCTATCACGTAGGTGCTGTTGTCAGCAATGTTAAAGCTCTATCACGGCGGTGCTGTTGTCACCAATGTTAAAGCTTTATCACGTAGGTGCTGTTGTCAGCAGTGTTAAAGCTCTATCACGGCGGTGCTGTTGTCACCAATGTTAAAGCTCTATCACGTAGGTGCTGTTGTCAGCAGTGTTAAAGCTCTATCACGTAGGTGCTGTTGTCAGCAGTGTTAAAGCTCTATCACGTAGGTGCTGTTGTCACCAATGTTAAAGCTCTATCGCGATGGTGCTGTTGTCACCAATGTTAAAGCTCTATCACGGCGGTGCTGTTGTCACCAATGTTAAAGCTCTATCACGGCGGTGCTGTTGTCACCAATGTTAAAGCTCTATCACGGCGGCGCTGTTGTCAGCAATGTTAAAGCTCTATCACGATGGTGCTGTTGTCAGCAGTGTTAAAGCTATATCATGGTGGTGCTGTTGTCAGCAATGTTACTGTTATATCACGGCGGTGCTGTTGTCAGCAATGTTAAAGCTCTATCACGATGGTGCTGTTGTCAGCAATGTTACTGTTATATCACGGCGGTGCTGTTGTCAGCAGTGTTAAAGCTCTATCACGGCGGTGTTGTTGTCAGCAATGTTACTGTTATATCACGGCGGTGTTGTTGTCAGCCATGTTACTGTTATATCACGGCGGTGCTGTTGTCAGCAATGTTAAAGCTCTATCACGATGGTGCTGTTGTCAGCAATGTTACTGTTATATCACGGCGGTGCTGTTGTCAGCAATGTTAAAGCTCTATCACGATGGTGCTGTTGTCAGCAATGTTACTGTTATATCACGGCGGTGCTGTTGTCAGCAGTGTTAAAGCTCTATCACGGCGGTGCTGTTGTCAGCAATGTTACTGTTATATCACGGCGGTGTTGTTGTCAGCCATGTTACTGTTATATCACGGCGGTGCTGTTGTCAGCAATGTTAAAGCTCTATCACGATGGTGCTGTTGTCAGCAATGTTACTGTTATATCACGGCGGTGCTGTTGTCAGCAATGTTAAAGCTCTATCACGATGGTGCTGTTGTCAGCAATGTTACTGTTATATCACGGCGGTGCTGTTGTCAGCAGTGTTAAAGCTCTATCACGGCGGTGCTGTTGTCAGCAATGTTACTGTTATATCACGGCGGTGTTGTTGTCAGCCATGTTAAAGCTATATCATGGTGGTGCTGTTGTCAGCAATGTTAAAGCTATATCACGATGGTGCTGTTGTCACCAATGTTACTGTTATATCGCGGCGGTGTTGTTGACATCAATGTTAAAGCTCTATCACAGCGGTGCTGTTGTCAGCAATGTTACAGTTACATTACGGCGGAGCTGTTGTCAGCAATGTTACAGTTACATTACGGTGGTGCTGTTTTCAGCAATGTTACAGTTACATTACGGCGGTGCTGTTGTCAGCAATGTTATAGTTACATTACGGCGATGATGTTGTCAGCAATGTTACAGTTACATTACAGCGGTGCTGTTGTCAGCAATGTTACAGTAACATTACGACGGTGCTGTTGTCAGCAATGTTACAGTTACATTACAGCGGTGCTGTTGTCAGCAATGTTACAGTTACATTACCGCGGTGCTTTTGTCAGCAATGTTACAGTTACATTACCGCGGTGCTTTTGTCAGCAATGTTACAGTTACATTACAGCGGTGCTGTTGTCAGCAATGTTACAGTTACATTACCGCGGTGCTGTTGTCAGCAATGTTACAGTTACATTACAGCGGTGCTGTTGTCAGCAATGTTACAGTTACATTACGGCCGCACTATTGGGGAAAACCGGCTTGCACACAACGCTATTCAATATTTCAACTGACCTATTATTGATTATAAATATTTGATCCGTCCCATATGATATCCTTAAAAAATTGTTTAAAGATATAATATTAGCATCGCACTGTCAGCGCAAATTAAGGTCACAATCACCAAGCATAGATGTGAAATCCGTCAGGCGGCGGAATATTGAATGTTGTGTGTAAGGGAAGGCAGGAGATAAGGAGAGTGATCCTCTGAAATGGTATGCTAACTACCATCAGTCGATCACGCCAATATGATAAGGTTTCGGCATATCATTTGCAAGTCTTATGAAGCAAATAGAATATAAACAAGCACGGCCATTTGCTGCCATTATATCACTTAGGAGCCTTCGTAACAAGAACAAGATCATTTTACCAATGCACCAATCCCTTGACGTCTCGCTCACTGCAGCAATATTTAGGAGATACTTACTTACTCAGAATTAGTAGATTTCATTGTGTGTGTTTTATAGCTGTTAACGAACAGCAAATAGGGGGAACAATCCCATTCGTTTCAACAAGGAAAAAACGTTAATATGTTGCTGCTATGGCAACATACTGTCCTTGGGGACGCAGGAGTTATTATGGACAAAGTGTGGCTTGTATTGCCAGGACTGAAATGACCACCGGGAACAATAAGCAGCATCTTCATTTCCTGTATGAATTAATCGCGTGTGTCTCTTGACCAAGTTGGATAGTGGTAGGGTATGTAGGAAGTCTGTTCTACACGTTGCATAGTGGTCGGGTTGGGCATGCAGGAAGTATGCTGTACACGTTGGATAGTGGTCGGATATGTAGGAAGTCTGTTGTACAAGTTGGATAGTGGTAGTGCATGTAGGGTGTATGTTGTACAAGTTGGATAGTGGTAGGATATGTAGGACGTCTGTTCTACACGTTAGAAAATGGTCAGGCGGGGTATGTAGGAAGTATGTTGTACAAGTTAGATAGCGGTAGGGTAGAGCACGTAGGAAGTCTGTTGTACAAGTTGCATAGTGGCAGGGAATGTAGGGTGTATGTTGTACAAGTTGGATAGTGGTAGGGTGGAGTATGTAGGAAGTTTGTTGTACAAGCTGGATAGTGGCAGTGTATGTAGGGTGTATGTTGTACAAGTTGGATAGCGGTAACGTATGTAGGGTGTATGATGTACCAGTTGGATAGTGGCAAGGCATGTAGGGTGTATGTTGTACACGTTGGATAGCGGTAGGGCATGTAGAGCGTATGTTGTACAAGTTGGATAGCGGGAACGTATGTAGGGTGTATGATGTACAAGTTGGGTCGTGGCAGGGCACGTAGGGTGTTAGGTTTAACGAGTTGGATAGTAGCAGGGTATGTAGGGTGTATGTTGTACAAGTTGGATAGTGGCAGGGTATTTTGGGTCATGATGTACAAGTTGGATTGTGGCAGGGCATGTAGAGTGCATGTTGTACAAGTTGGATAGCGATAGGGTATGAAGGGTGTATGTTGTACAAGTTGGATAGTGGCAGGGTATGTAGGGTCATGATGTACAAGTTGGATAGTGGCAGGGCATGTAGGGTTATGTTGTAAAAGTTGGATAGCGATAGGGTGTGAAGGGTGTATGTTGTACAAGTTGGATAGTGGCAGGGTATGTAGGGTGTATGTTGTACAAGTTGGATAGTGGCAGGGTATGTAGGGTTATGTTGTACAAGTTGGATAGTGGCAGGGTATGTAGGGTCATGATGTACAAGTTGGATAGTGGCAGGGTATGTAGGGTTATGTTGTACAAGTTGGATAGTGGCAGGGCATGTAGGACGTCTTTTTTACACGTTTGGTAGGACAGAGTATGTAGAGGGTATGATACGCAGTTGGGTAGTTTGTCAGTGGTAAATGCGTGTATTTGTTATCCGAGTTAACCATTGGCAAAGGTATATATTTCTTATACAAGTATGTATGTGTATCTGAGAATATGTATGCCAAATATATCTATATAAAACGAAATTACCACAGTATATGTAGCATATGTTACATTGGCACTGCAGTGACAAGTGTCTTCATCCTAGTATCGGCAGCAGCTGTGATTGAGTCACGTTGTCTTCAGTGGTCTTTGTGGTGAGAGAAAAGTTCAATACGCATCTACATTGTCATTGTAGACGGGCGAGTCTAGGAATTTGGTTGGTTGTTGGTGGTGCACATGATAGCCTTAGCATTCAGTTAACACCCGTCATTGGGTGTGTGTGCGTGAGATATATAACGGAAAATCAATATTATTTAACTTTCTAGTCTTACCTATGGTTGAGACGACTGTGCCAACGAAATAGAAAGCCCCTGGGAAGTCCCAGCGAGGTCGCTTGTCCCCAACTATACCAGCGGTCTCCGCTCTCCCATGCAGATCCAGGAGTGTCTGTAGTCGGGACCGGTTTACTTCCGGGTACTGGCTCAAGAAGGTATCCACAGCATCCTGGTAGTGCTTTCTCTCCGTGGTCTCGTTCTCTGCCTCCAACAACATGAATATCCCAGCACCCGCCAACATGTAAATACCCATCACTATGAACAGCAGGACAAAACGGGCGTTGTCTTCTCGGAGGTGGAGAAGAGCGCAGCACCCCCTTCTCCCTGGCCGGCTCATCCTGCCACAACCCCGGACTGATACCCACTCCACCCCCACAGGTGCTGACTCACACCCTGGATCTAACCACGGGGGTTGACGTCACACGGTCGTGATGTCAACACAAACAAACATAGGTGTCAGAAGATCAACATGTGACGATAGCTGTGTTGTCAGGTAGAATATATTAGCCTTGTCCATCGCATCACAACTGACCGTAGTGACCCAGGCCATGTCAACTAGTCCTTCTTGTCCACATTGCATTAGTACTCTCAGAAGCAATAGTGTCAGCTGTTTAGTACACCGCGTAGATTGACTATAGGGTCGAGTTCATTAAGACATGTCAGATGTCCGGTTAAACCTTACCCTGTTGAAGGCAAACACGTACTCCAGTTGGCACCGTTACCCGTGAAACACCCGTTTCTCATCCTGACCCGCTTCCAGAACGTCACTGCCCTAATCACGTCATGGACCTCTCAAGAGACTGTCAAACTCCCCCTCTCAATTATCCCCGTCTCCGTATATTTCATCTTCTCCGGTCCTCTGCTTCTCCTCATGACAATTCCTCAGCGTATCACTGATGGACATTTGCCTCAGCCGACTCTCTATCACACTGACGACAAGTTTTACTTGCGTTCGAGATATGCCTGAGCCAGCAACAGATCCCGACTTTATGACTCGGCATCGCCCGGGTTCTGTCAGTTGTCACTACACAGGGACTCGATACGTACAACTGTGCATTATCGTCAATATCTGGCAGGCTGAGCGAGTGAAGCAGCATCGCCTGGCATCAGGCTCACTGGCGGCCTGCCTGACTGACTGCTTGATCAACGGCACACAGCAACATGTGCGACAATAACTCCCATCATTGAACACAAGCTACTTCTGGTGTCGGCGCAGGGCCTGTAATTACGCAAACATTGCCATGGGATGAATACAATCAAAATATAAACATTTGATGGCCGTCACAGCTGATGCGCGTTATCCGTGAGGAACACTGCCACCCAGGACACAAAGGGTCAACGCTGATGTGATAATCTCACAGAAAAACAAATTATACCATACGGTTAATGCTGGGATTTGCAATTGTAAAGCGCAAGATAGATCACTAAATTGAATAGATGGATGGATGAGTGGGCTGATGGATGGATGGATTGGTGGGTGGCTTGAAGATAGATAAATAGCTGGCTAACCTGGACTAAACATTGCTGGAATGGCCATATGTTTGTTAGGAATTGTCAGGAATCTTGATTGGAAACGTAAAGAAGGCTGTGCAAGTGAGAGACTCCCTGTTAGTCACACTGACGTTGTGTCGTATGAAGTTGCATGATTCAACCTAATTAGAGAAAGGATCACAAACATGGCCAGGCCGTAAACACAGAGTGCACAGCCCGTACAAAACCATCACGGACTTAAGAAAAGACTTCAATATTTTTTTTCGTTTATGGAAATGGATCCGTAAAAACCAATCTCATTAAACACAGATCTTAGTTCTCGCTATCGCTAAACAAAGACCTGAGGAAATCCCAATACGGGCCACGTCAGAACGATCTTTCATCCGACCAATCAGACCGTCGCTTACCAGATCAGGGAAGTGGCAGTCGAAATGTGTTTTCATATCATGCAGCAAAGAAAAGGTTAACACGGGATATTTTGAACGGCAGTTACGGGCTGCACTACTGATTCCGTCCAAACCGTCGTCTATCTCTGGCTCCAATAGGATACTCATTTGACCGGAAGAGACTTTTATCGCCCGTGGGAAGTACAGCAATACAATCTCGGCCATCTATTAGACATTCCAGAATTTTCTTTTGTTTAGTTTTCAAATGTTGAATCAAGAACTGTGTTAAAGTATTTTTCAAGCGTAGGTTAGAATGAAATCGCCAGTTTGTATCTAGTGCCATATAGCTCGAGAAAGATGCTTTCTGATTGGCTACTGTTGACTTCTTGCTAGTCATTTCATTGCCCGGTCAGAGTTCGCTAAATGTGCTTCCGACGTGATCTTTCAGCAAAATAATGCAACACAAGCCCCGCCCATTCTAGTATCATCCAATGAAGAAACAGTAATCCGTTAGTGGGCGGGCCTAATATGTTTTCGGTTTACGGAATCCATAAAAAAAATAATTGCTTAATAAGCCACCGAAATGCCACTGAATCACTTGTAATGCATTGACAACTCCAACACTACCCAACTGCCCCATGCTTGTTTAGACTGGATACCTGTTTACGAATTTACCGTTTTAGCTCACTGAAGGGACCAGTGAGAGTTATTGTATGATGGCGCATCGGCAGTATGCAATCCATGTAGATGGACGGTCCAACAATGAAAACAAATGTGTTAACGACCACCATGATGACTTGTAGCGCACGTGGTGACGGGAACTCCGGAAGTATTAAGCGATCAAGCGCCGTCGCTTTCACTTGTGGGACACTATATGCAAATATGAATAGAGCATACCGACTTCATGGGTAATTTCTTAACCACCGAACAATTAGTGTATGATGAATATCCCACTTACCGACATAGTAATCTATGGAAGCCAAGGAGGGACACTGTCGCGTTGTCGCATTCATGGTAATCGCTTTGAACCATAACGTCATGCATGTCATGAACATCTTCGTTTAAACTTGCGTCTTTCGATGGACAAAAGCTAGAGAGAATGGTGTTGATGTTGGACCCTTTTCTTCACATGGCTTGAGAGAATGGTGTTGATGTGAGACCCTGGCCCCCACATGGCTTGAGAAAATGGTGTTGATGTTGGACCCTTGTCTTCATATGGCTTGAGAGAATGGTGTTGATGTTGGACCCTTGTCTTCACATGGCTTGAGAGAATGGTGTTGATGTTGGAACCTTTGTCTTCACATCGCCAGAGAGAATGGTGTTGATGTGGGACCTTTCTTTTCACATCGCTAGAGAGAATGGTGTTGATGTGGGACCCTTGTCTTCACATCGCCAGAGAGAATGGTGTTGATGTGGGACCCTTGTCTTTACATCGCTAGAGAGAATGATGTTGATGTGGGACCCTTGTCTTCACATTGCTAGAGAGAATGGTGTTGATGTGGGACCTTTGTCTTCACATCGCCAGAGAGAATGGTGTTGATGTGGGACCTTTGTCTTCACATTGCTAGAGAGAATGGTGTTGATGTGGGACCCTTGTCTTCACATCGCCAGAGAGAATGGTGTGGATGTGGGACCCTTGTCTTTACATCGCTAGAGAGAATGATGTTGATGTGGGACCCTTGTCTTCACATTGCTAGAGAGAATGGTGTTGATGTGGGACCTTTGTCTTCACATCGCCAGAGAGAATGGTGTTGATGTGGGACCTTTGTCATCACATTGCTAGAGAGAATGGTGTTGATGTAGGACCTTTGTCTACACATTGCCAGAGAGAATGATGTTGATGTGGGACCTTTATCTTCACATCGCTAGTGAGAGTGGTGTTGATGTGGGACCCTTGTCTTCACCTCCCAACTAGGAAATTATTATGTCATAAGTTAGACTTTTCCTTTCTAGCGTGACTAGTTGAAACATGACCATCTGAAGATTGTGCGCCGGTCCGACTGTACAGCTAGGACACTGTAATGTCCGTCATCATTGTGATCTTTGATATTTCCACTTACTATTGACATTCCGCTTAGAGGGGTTTTTTTAAATGCCAACAGCGGAAGGGGAGCCGTAAAGTTAGGATTATGGTGTTCTGTCGTTGGACTGAAATGCAAACGGAAGCTGACACCATCTCCACACTAATACCCCATGCTGCTCGCAACATCAGGAAGTGGGTCGGCTGAAACACCATCTAAATGTACATGTCTCACATTACTTGTCCATCATCGCCACTGACAACAGCTGGTGGCAGTCTACGACACAACAGGAACAGGCCTGGTGCTGCCGGCGGCGCGAGAAGCGTGAAAACATCGATATTTGTATAGTTATTTGTGATCTGGTTCATGCGCATTATATGTAGAGGTTATCTCACCAATGTGTTTTGGGGTATTAAATAACCTGTATTAGGTATAAATACTATGTATTGAGCTCGCCAAGGTTAGCTTAATGTCCATTCTTAATACAGGCTATTTACCATCTCAAAACACCTAGCGTTATGAGCTCTTTATCATATATAACGCCATTTTCAAAAAAGATTCCAAATGTGACAACAGATGCTATAGTTCCATATGAAACGTGTTTTCATACAGTGGCTTAAATACTATATCGGCAAAGCGACAGTAGCCTACACAGAGGTATAACAAAGTATTGTTTCGTTGCACATTGATGATTGTTTGTGAATGACTGCGTAGAGTTGCACACTGGTGATTGGTTGTGTATGACTATGTAGTGTTACACATTGGTGATTGGTTGTGTGTGACTATGTAGTGTTGCACACTGATGATTGGTTGTGTGTGACTATGTAGTGTTACACATTGGTGATTGTTTGTGTGTGACTATGTAGTGTTGCACACTGATGATTGGTTGTGTGTGACTATGTAGTGTTCACATTGATGATTGTTTGTGTGTGACTATGTAGTGTTGCACAATGATGATTGGTTGTGTGTGACTATGTAGTGTTACACATTGATGATTGTTTGTGTGTGACTATGTAGTGTTGCACAATGATGATTGGTTGTGTGTGACTATGTAGTGTTACACATTGATGATTGTTTGTGTGTGACTATGTAGTGTTGCACACTGATGGTTGTGTGTGTATGACTATGTAGTGTTGCACACTGATGGTTGTGTGTGTATGACTATGTAGTGTTACACATTGATGATTGGTTGTGTGTGACTATGTAGTGTTACACATTGATGATTGGTTGTGTGTGACTATGTAGTGTTACACATTGATGATTGTTTGTGTGTGACTATGTAGTGTTGCACAATGATGATTGGTTGTGTGTGACTATGTAGTGTTACACATTGATGATTGTTTGTGTGTGACTATGTAGTGTTGCACACTGATGGTTGTGTGTGTATGACTATGTAGTGTTGCACACTGATGGTTGTGTGTGTATGACTATGTAGTGTTACACATTGATGATTGGTTGTGTGTGACTATGTAGTGTTACACATTGATGATTGGTTGTGTGTGACTATGTAGTGTTACACATTGATGATTGGTTGTGTGTGACTATGTAGTGTTACACATTGATGATTGTTTGTGTGTGACTATGTAGTGTTTCACACTGATGATTGTGTGTGTATAATTATGTAGTGTTCCCATTGGTGATTGTGTGTTCGTGTGTGTATGTGTGTGGTGTGCACAATGATGATTGTTTGTGTGTGACTATGTAGTGTTGCACACTGATGATTGTGTGTGTATGACTATGTAGTGTTGCACACTGGTGATTGTGTGTGTATAATTATGTAGTGTTCCCATTGGTGATTGTGTGTTCGTGTGTGTATGTGTGTGGTGTGCACAATGATGATTGTTTGTGTGTGACTATGTAGTGTTACACATTGATGATTGGTTGTGTGTGACTATGTAGTGTTACACATTGATGATTGTTTGTGTGTGACTATGTAGTGTTGCACAATGATGATTGGTTGTGTGTGACTATGTAGTGTTACACATTGATGATTGTTTGTGTGTGACTATGTAGTGTTGCACAATGATGATTGGTTGTGTGTGACTATGTAGTGTTACACATTGATGATTGTTTGTGTGTGACTATGTAGTGTTGCACAATGATGATTGGTTGTGTGTGACTATGTAGTGTTACACATTGGTGATTGTTTGTGTGTGACTATGTAGTGTTGCACAATGATGATTGGTTGTGTGTGACTATGTAGTGTTACACAATGAT